AACATAGTATTCTATTGTGTGTACGTACCATAGTTTGGGTATCCATTCTTCTGTTGATGGGCACCTAGGTTGTTTCCATCTTTTTGCTATTATAAATAGTGCTGTGATGAACATGGGTGTACACATATCTGTTTTTGTCCTGGCTCTCACTTTTTTAGAATATATACCTAGCAATAGGATTGCTGGATCAAATGGTATTTCTAATTCCAACTTTTGAAGGAATCACCATACTGCTTTCCACAGTGGTTGTTATCACTGAACAGTCCCACCAGCAGTGTATGAGAGTCCCAATCTCTCCATATCCTCACCAGCATTTGTTATTTTCTGTCTTGTTGAACTTTGCTATTGGTGCTGGGATGGGATCATATCTCATTGCTATTTTCATTTGCATCTCTCTAATGGCAAACTCGGCATGTAACAACAACAACAAACAAATGGCAAACTCGACGGCACATGACAACAACAATGGCAAATGATTGTGAACATTTCTTCATGTGTTTGTTGGCTGCCTGAATATTCTCTTTGGAGAAGTGTCTGTTCATGTCTTCTGCCCATTTTTTAATTGGATTGTTAGTCTTTTTGGTTTTGAGGTGTTGTAGTTTTCTATAAATTTTAGAGATAAGTCTCTTGCCAGATATGTCACTGTCAAATATTTTTTCTCAATCTGTAAGTTCTTTTACTCTTTTGGAGAAGTCTTTTGAAGCACATATAAATTTAATTTTTAGAAGGTCCTACTCATCTAGTTTCTCTTCTGCTGTCTGTGTACTTTGGGTTATGCTTGACAGTCTATTTATGCCATAAATAAGGGTCCCTAAATTTGCCCCTAGTTTTTCCCTGAGAAACTTTATAGTTTAAGTTTCACATTTAAGTCTTCGATCCATCTGGCGTTAGTTTTTGTTTATGGTGTGAGGTACAGATCTTGTTTCATTTTTCTGCAAATGGATATCCAGTTTTCCAGCACTATTTGTTAAAGACAGCATCTCTTCCCCATTTAATGGATTTCAGCCCTTTGTCAAAAATCAGCTGACCACAGGTTGATGGATCTATTTCTGGGTTCTCAGTTTTGTACCACTCGTCTATGTGTCTGTTGTTGTACCAGTACCAAGCAGTTTTGACTACTGTGGCTGTATAGTAGGTTTTGAGATCTGGGAGTGTGACACCTCCTACTTTGTTCTTCTTCTTCAATAGTGCTCTGCTTATTCAAGGTCTCTTTCCTTTCCATATAAAATTAGTGATTGGCACTGAGTTGGTTAAGAGGAGGGATGGTATGGAAAGAGTTTTGTGACCAACATGATAACATAGGGGAAAGAGAGGACATTGAATTGTGCACACAAGGTATAGTTGACAAAGGATAATACCTGTATATGCGCAATACTGTATTACTATTCACATCAAACACCAGACTACAGATAAATGCATACACAACTGAGAAGATCAGATGGGAGTCGGTGAACAGAAATATACTCTAGACCAATGATAGATTCAGCTGAGTGTAATCCTGCACATATACTAGTGATACAAAATAACCATAATCATTAAGAAGCAGCAGAAGACAGACTTGGGGTAATCCCTCAGAGACAGCCAGACACTCTGGGAGAGAGATCCACCAGATCTGCTGACTCAGGACCACAGTATTGTGGGACACCAGTCTCAACTGGTACAACGTAATACATAAAAATCATATTCTATAGCCTACTCGGGTGAGTAGTGACAGGGGTCTTAGAAGCTTTTGAGCGGCCATCTAAGACTCAGCTAATGGTCTCTTCTCATCTAAAGTGAAGAAGAGTGAGGAAAACCAAGGGCATTTGGAAACAATCAGCCCTAGGATATGACGGACCTTGAGAGCAGAAGAACTACAGAGTGCCTGGCTACCAATGTCAACCACTCAGGAAGGGATCAAACCTGGAGCTCCTGGAAAGAGTGGGAGAAAAACATGGAACAAAATTCAAAAAACATAGTAACAACGAGAATTACTGGTTGGATGGAGTCTGGTGGGATCCCCCAAGACTATGGCCCTGGGATACACTTCGGGCCTGGAATAAAACTCACTCTCAAGGGCTGGCTCTCAGCCCAACAGCAGTAAGACTTACATGCAGAATACCCAACCCAGGGCAATGCACCCACCTACACTATGGAGATAGACCCCTTGGAGCAAGGGGCCAAGGGGCACCAGAGGGGTGGCATTCACGTGGAGGAAAAGCTGGGCAGACGGGGTGCATAACTACGAAGGGCACGGGGATGGGGGGTACAGGGAAGGGAGAGGAGAAGGGTAGGTTGGGGATGGTGGGGAATGAAACCAAATGTGCATGAACTGTTGAATGTAAAACAAATTCCACTCTGTAAATCTGTACCCAAAACACAATAAAATAAAAATTAGAAAAAAAATAAATCAGTGATTGGTTTTTCTATATCCTTAAAGAATGTTGATGGGATCTGGGATTGCATTCAAAGTATAGATTGCTTTGGGTAGTACTGACATTTTCACAGTGTTCAATCTTCCTATCAACAAATATGGTGAAAGGATACAACCCTGATGCACACCCTTCCTGATTTTTAAACCATGCAGTACCCCCTTGTTCTGATCAAATGACAGCCTCTTGGTCTGTGTTCCTCATGAGCAAAATTAAGGGTTCTGGAATTCCTATTCTTTGCAATGTTACCCATGATTTGTTATGATCAACACAGTTAAACGCCCTTGCATAGTCAAAAAACACAGGTAAACATCTTCCTGGTGTAAGAAACCCTATGGGGTAGTTCTACTCTGCCCTATAGAGTCACTAGGAATTGGAATCGACTTGATGGCACACAACAACCACCTATTTTCTGTTATGCCCTAGGCCCCGTGTTAGACACTGAGGAAAAAATTCTATACAAGATACCGGTCCCGGCCTCCTCAAAGGTAAGCAACAGTGAGGAAAACAAATACTGAACTGTATTTACAACACATGCACATTACAAAGAATGTAGGGCCTGAAAATGAGTAACAGCAGCCTTAACCTAGATAAGGGTGGAGGCTGAGGGTAAAGGGTGGGATTTAGGGGAGGTGGGGAGGACAAACTTCTCAGATTATGTTACATTTAAGCCAAGACCGAAGGAGTAGGGGTGTGCTGGTGGAAGGAGGAGGAAGGCAGGAAAGAACATTCCAAGTAGAGCAAGTAGAGGAACAGCCCTGGCTCACTAAAAGAAAAGCTCAGTGTGAGAAGCGGATGCCAGAAATAAGTGTAGGAAATTTCTGAAACAGAACTCAATTCTCTTCATATCACTTCTTCTTATGTACCATTAATATTAGTAATTTTCAGATGCTTTTCACTACATGAAATATTTTCTATGCTCTAACTATCCTTCTATTGCCTATATTATAAAGAAAAATTTCCACAGTAAGAACGTGCCCTACTGTATTTAAACACAGTTCAAAACAAAAGCAAGCTTCTATATCACATAATAGGATATAATTCTTAGAAATCCTAACCTTTTTAATGTCCACTGCTTTTTAAAGCTAACTTTGGGGTTACAAATTTTATAAACTGTAAAAATAATGAGAAGATTACAAAAATGTTATAAAACAGAATAAAGGAAAAATTCACCCAAAGCTACTATACCAATTCAAGGTCTATTACCATATTGGTATTTTTCCTTCCAATTTTTAAAGTTAAATAAGGTCAGTAGTTCTAAATTGTAAGACAGCAAAATATTCTGAGTACAGAATTTCTAAAACTTAGAAAGACTTGTTTCCTATACACATAAAAAAATTCTTTAAAAATAAGAAGACTGAAAATGCTTCACATAATTTTCTAATTTAGACATCTTTTTATACTTGACTTAAACTTTGACAAAAATGGAAAAACTCATTGTGTTTTAGAGAAAGGAAGTTAAAAATAGTTTCAATTCATGATTAATTTAGTTTTAACATTAATGAATCCAGTGTACACATATCAAATTATCAATGGCTGGATTACAGGAACTGTTTTAAAATTATAAATCATACTAATGTTAACTAGAACCTAATCACTTGCAAATTTTCCTTTTAAAGAATAAATGTGTGAGCCTCACATAACCAGAGACTCAAAATCCCTGGAGTAACTATATGTTCTATTAACAGTGTCCTGGGCAAAACGCCCAAAACGAAATCAACCCGGCTCATCTGCTACCCTCTACAATATCTGGGCCAGTTTTCCTCTTCTCTGTCTTGCTGTGCTCCAAAACTATTTTTAAAAGCTAAAAGCTATAAATGGTTTTGGTGAAGGAACAAACCCACAAATTACTCAATGTGCTCTGTGTTGATTGGGTATTATTCGACAATCATTGTACATACTACTTAAGAGAAGGGTAGTCAGGGTCAGAGTAGTAACAGTTCCATACAATTAAGCAACAGGTGGACATCAATACACTCTAAGGGCTCTGCTGTACCCCTGAATTAATTAGAAGAAAGAAAACACAACACCAATGTCTTTCTTCCATTAGAAGTTTCTTCTAATTAACATTTGGATTTTAGGCGATCTCTGAATTTTCACTATTATTAATACACCATGATGCATCCTGCTGTGTGATGTTTCACTTTTATACAGCCCTTTTTAAACCATGGTCTTGTAACTCCCATCAAAAGACTGTGTGGGACTATCCAAATAAGGTGCTGTGGTCCATCAAGGGGCTTGGGCAGCTTGCGGCTAATGCAAATAAGGTGCATGGTACCCTTGTGGAGGTGGGGCCATGCAAATAATATGTATGGAATCCCAAAAAGAGGACTGGTTAGGGTCTGCCATCTTGCTAGGCTTAAAATGAGGCATTCCACAGGTGGAGAGTGGGGACCTGACTACCAAGAAGAAAGGGGAGTGGAGGGCATCCTTTGGATCTGGGGTCCCTGTGCTGGGAACCCTCTAGACCCAGCAGATAGCTGTAACACCGGAGATGTGGCAGAGAAATGGCAGCAGCAGACCCAGGCGGTGGTGCCGTGGGCTTTAGGGCCCACAGACTGAGACTGCTGAGCATCTTAGATTGGTTTTTAATGTGACTGTTTTGGTCCTCTAGTGCTGCCCTAACAGAAAATACTACAAATGGATGATTTTAAACAAATAGGGGCTTATTTTCTTACAGTTTAGGAGGCCTGAAGTCCGAGTTCAAAGTCCCAGCTCTAGGGGCTGGGTGAAAGCCCCTTGACCTTGGGCTTCAGCTCTGCCTCTTGATACCAGCCCACTAAAGCTGAAGACTTCTCTTAACTCAGCTGCTGGCTGCCGAGGCTGACAAAGCCAAAGTCAGCAGATAAATAGGCATGGTCCCAAGATTACCAAACAACACAGCAGGCCACTAGTTCAAGTCCAGAGGCAGTCCCAAGATCAGCAGGAAACATGGCAGGCTGCCGAATGAGGACTTGGCTACATGCAGGGTCCCAAGTGTGCCAAAAAGCTCAGAGATCTTTCTCAAAGCTGTCTTCTTCTT